ATTCAATTATATAATAATATACTGATATTTTAAACTATAAAATAAAAACTAATTCAGTTAATTGTGACGTGATTTTGTTTTGTGAATAAGCTTCTATCGAAGTCCTAAAAGCAATTATCAGTGACCTTAAACATACTCTTAGATCACTTTTTAGTGTCTCCAGTGACACCGTTAGATAATAGAATGATGCATGCAACATTTTTCAGAACATAAAGACAAAATAGTTTGTATAAAGCACAAGAGACAGTGAAACGTCTTCTGCTGCTAATCAGTGGGTGGAGCGTCATGTTCACTGCGTCATGACGCGTTTTCGTAATATACCTTCTTTCGCTGTTACACGCTAACAACAACTTACAAATACTTATTACATCACGTTACTTAATGTCTGATTATGATAGTATTGTCCTCCTTCAAAACTCATTTTCCCTAAAACCATGTTTTCTAATTTTCTTTTCCTGGGAAGACCACTCATCACACAACACTGCCCAAAAATAAAAATTCTTATACGTCCTCTTCCTAATATGGATCACATTGTATATATATATATATGTATATATATATATATATATTACTTATCACTCATATTTAAACCGTTGAATATATTTATTTTGATAGCAAAATATGTAAAGTTGAATTGACTGAGAATGTAATTCAAAGGTCATTTCAATGAAGGTAATATGACTTTGAAGACCATTTTCAGGTTGGTGTTTGATTTTAAAAAGATAAAATAATGAAAAATTTAGAGAAATTCGTGACATTTATCTAGTAACAATTAAGTTTAAAAATTATTTTGTTCTAATATTTTAGAGGGTTTTTTTTTTTTCATTTCTTTTCTTATTCAATCTTTATTTTATTAAAAAAAATTAATATGGTCCTTCTATTAAATTTGCGTTGATACTATTTTGGAAGGTAATCACGTGTCAATGATTCTGGAAAATCTTTTTCAAAATTCTTAAATTACATCTTTCAACGAAGTTCCTCTCACCACAAGGGCACAACTTTTTTCTATGACAAAATCTAGTTGAAGGTTCAGCTCAATTTCAACAAGAAGTAGTTGGTAAGAAGATCCAAAGGATGAAGGAGAAGTACCAAAATATTCTCAACAAGAATAACTCCAAAAAAGAATTATCCTTTAAGAATGTGTATCCCTCAAGCTACCTTTAAAATCTCTTGCAAGATTCAAAGTAGTGTGATTCTAATGTACGAAAATTTCTTAGATGACTGAAGAAATCAATCCTTGTCCCAAAGCTAACCCTACTCTTGTCCTAACCTTAATTTTAATTATGTAATTCACAATAATGAAAATTTTTTCCTCTCTAAAAAGATCCATTTCAATACGTGTCTTGCTACTCGTTAGATATAAATAAAAAAATATCTACCCATTTTTTTATATATTTTTAAATTTTGAGTTAAATTATTTAAAAACAAGTCTTTAAAATGTAAATTTAGATAAAAATATATATATAAATTATAATTCAAATAAAATTGTACATTGTAAAATTGTACACTGAGATATTAATGTCAATAATTTAGTATTATCAAAACATTGCACCAAACATAAATTTTAAAAAATTAATCTTTTCAAAAATAACTTCAATTTCATTGATTTAAATGAGAAATATAAATATATAGAAGTGAATATTCATCCGTTAATATTTCTTTCACTAATAATTTTATTTTTATCACTTGACTTTTTAAATGCAAATAAAATTTGTTAATAATGATTAACGGTAATAAATATCTACGAGTTATATAATATGATATAAGCATTTGAACCACACTCAGTCATCTCTAAAACAACCTAAGTATTTTTCAAACATGCAAAATACTCATAGTTAAAACCTTGAATATTATTTGGAAAACGACCACTCTTGGCTAAACAATAATGGTTGTTTGAGTATTGTTTAAAACACAATCCCTCTTAATTAAATAAGTTGATATTGTTTAGAATACAATCCCTTTTAGCTAAGATCACTCTTGACTAGACTAAGTATTATTTAGAATCTAACAACTCCTTGCTAAAGTACTTAGTATTGTTTGATACACAACTACTATTGTGTAAAATTGAAATGTTTACAAATAAAGTGATATAAAATATCACAACATTGTCAACAAAAAAGAGGATATTGTCCAATGATAGATACAAAGAAGAAGAAAAATGTTATTTTAGACTACTAATGAATACAAACAATGTTCATTCTTACAACTACAATGTCAAAGATTGCTTAAGAGCTTGCACACATTTTTGTTGCAAGATTTTCTTTATCAACCTTCATTCTTTATAAAGGAATAGTCATTGCAACTTCTTTTTTTTTAGTTTTTGAGCATACTTTGAAGTTGTGAGACACATTAAATTCTTAACTAAGAGTTAAATATGTGTGACATTTTTAGCAACACTTTTGGACCATGATAGAGTCTCACAAGCCTAATAGATAACTACTTTTTCACCTTTTTGATCGAAATACAAGACATAAAACAACTAATTAATTTCGTAATATTGACATTCTGCTTATTTTTTTCAAAGTATGAAATAACTTTAAGCTTTCTTAAAAAGATTTTGATATTTATAAAACACTGTGAAACCCTTTCAGAATAATGAAAAAAAAAATACATTCTATACTCTTGAAATGATCATTTATAAGTTTGACATATATTACGAAGGGCTTAAAACTTCAACCATACAAAGTACACTAATTGTTTGTCAAAGTAAAACATTTTTCAAACAAAGAACTTTGCATCTATTAGATGAAATACAAAAACAAATAGTATTTGTGTTTGTTTAGTCACACAACTTGCATCTGCTGGGTTAAATTGAACATGATACTCACAAAGAATTATGTTTTAACACTTTGATATTTAATCACAACATCACAATTATATAAAAACATCTTTTGTACTTAATGTGCATTTTTATTTATAGATATTTTGAATAATATTATTATAGTCTGTATGTGTGTTGATATTTTATCCGAGTGTGAGAGTTATAAATAGATTCAAAATCTGTTAGTTAACATAACTATCCATTACGTTCATTTGAAGAATCTTTAATATTGAACATTTTTTAAAGTATTGAAAATATTAGTTTTAGCATGCAAGTGGAGAAGATTGAGTTAGCATATCAAAAACTTTATTGAAATGTACTAATAAATGTGGATAGCTTCTTATCACCATGTTATATTAAAATAATGTTAACTAATACACACAATCCAAATATTGCAAGTAAGACAAAAAGAAAGTATAATTCTAACTTTATATGTTCTGTGATTTTCATACGAGTATATCTAATTGACTTTACTTTGTAGTTTAAAATAACTGTATACGCATTTTAATTGAAAACTATGTTTAAACCGTTGATTATAAATATTTTGATAGAAAAATATGTAAAGTTGAATTGATTGAGAATGTGCTTCAAAGTCCTTTCAATGAAGAAGGTAATATGTCTTTGATGACCATTAAAATGTTTGGTTATGATTATCAACGTCTATCACGCTAAAGTATGACAAAAAATAAATTTGAAAAAAGGATAAGAAATAGAATAAAATATTTAATTATTTAAAATAGTGGAATAGAAAAATAGGTATAATTCAATTAATTTAATAAAAAAAAATAGTAAAAGGAGTATAAGGTTCTTTAAATTAAATTTTCTCCCTTTCGCTTCAATTAAACAAAAAAAAAAGTTATTTTAATCCCCTTTCGCTCCTTCTCTTCCAATCATCGCGGTAAAATACCCATTTAAAATGGTGGATGAAGCAATGAAAGAAATTAAATTGAATAATGTAATTATTAGGCGGGTAACAGAAATAACAATAACTAATATGAGCTTATTCCTATTTTTTGTTAGTTTTTTTTAGCTTTGAGAATTTTATTATTTTATTATTTTTGCATGTGATCTTATCTGCCAACTCACTCGCAGAAAAATATACTTTTTAATCCACATATAATGAGGAGGCCATGCTTCAATATTATGTTCGTTTTTATTTTATTATATCAATATATATTTATTTATGGTTTTATTTTCTCTTTCCACATGAAATTAAATTAGAGATATAATAAAAAGAAATTATGTTATCTTGAAATCTAAAAATAAAAAATAAAAAATATTAAGAAAATTGGACAATTAAAGATGAAGAAAGAAAGTAATAGGTTGTGGTAACTGGCGCGGAGGACCAAGACTTGATTTGTCGTTAAATAGGATTTTGATTTGTGCTGTAAGGAAGAAGAAAAAGAGAATGATATTACTGAAGTCAAATTAGTCGAAGACGAGAGTCCATTATTGGAGTAGAACAAATGGTAAAGACCTCGTAATACTTATTGAAAACTAAAGATATATTTATTCAGAAAAAGGGAGAAAGTTAGTTGTTGAGGAAACAAGTCGTGCTGTGTTTGTTGTCAATTCATGTAAATTCCCTTCACGGAAGAAAGCCCGTGAGTGAAATTTCTTGATATTGGTAATCCGTGAACCACTTTCTTAACAGAGGAGGAAAAGGAAAACTAGGTTGGCTGGTATAGACAAAGACGCTAAGGTCCAAAAACGATACCTAACTAAAATATCTCTGATTTAATAAAGTTGAAGTGGAGTTTGTGTAAGACTACACTACAAATATATACCCGTGAATCCAAACACTACTAATTTACAATATCTCGACCTTTAACTTATCTTCACGGTCTAGCATCTAGCATGGTATGCATGTAGGCATTGCGTAGATTGAAATGGTATAAAAAAATATAGGTAAAAGGACGCAGTTGAAGAGTTAGTAGGTAAAGGATTGGTGTGTGAAGTAACGTTTGGAGAACGTGGTGGTGTGGCAGACAGTGTGAAGGGTCCTGTTAAAAAGCCAAAGCATAATGAAGCTTTAATCTGCCAAAACAGGTAAAGGTAGAAAAAGAAAGAGAAATTAAATAAAAGAAAATATTAATAATAATAACTGAGGGAACGGTCATAAACGAACATGTGAACTAAATATAACGTCTTAAATGGGCTAATTGAGATAACTCGTATTTCTATCTCTCAACGCAATTATTTTGAGAAGCAGACAACCACCCACCGCATCCTTACTTTTTTTCACAACATTGCTAAACTGGCACACTCCCATAAAGTTTGCATTAAAGCCACCACTCCTTAAAGCCACAACAGCTATTTTCACTTCCCTCTACCCTGCTCCCTCACTCTCTCCCATGGCTTCGATTTCCACAACTTTGCCTCTGCTTCTCTCGCTTCTTCTGTTACTCGGTCGCTACCATGCGGCTCAGGTGCCACAACCAGAGAGGGGAACCTACATTGTACACGTGGCAAAATCGGAAATGCCCCAAAGCTTTGAACACCATACGGTGTGGTATGAGTCCTCGCTCAAATCCGTCTCTGACTCGGCGAAAATCATTTACACCTACGATAACGCCATCCACGGATATGCGACTAGATTAACTGCGGAGGAAGCGCGTTTGCTGGAAAGCCAAACTGGGATTCTGGCGGTGTTGCCGGAGACGAGGTATGAACTTCACACGACGAGGACGCCGCAGTTCCTGGGTCTTGACAAGAGCGCGGACATGTTCCCCGAGTCGAGCTCCGCGAGTGACGTCATCGTCGGAGTCCTGGACACTGGCGTTTGGCCCGAGAGCAAGAGCTTCGACGACACGGGGCTTGGACCTGTTCCTAGTAGCTGGAAAGGCGAGTGTGAAACAGGAACGAACTTCAGTGCTTCCAACTGCAACAGAAAGTTGATCGGAGCCAGGTTCTTTGCGAAGGGTTGCGAGGCCATGTTGGGTCCTATTAACGAGACTGAGGAGTCTAGATCCCCTCGCGACGATGACGGTCACGGCACCCACACAGCCAGCACAGCCGCGGGATCTGTGGTTTCCGGCGCAAGTCTTTTCGGTTACGCATCCGGGACGGCGCGTGGGATGGCGACGCGCGCGAGAGTCGCTGCTTACAAGGTTTGCTGGAAGGGAGGGTGTTTCAGTTCGGATATTCTTGCGGCAATTGAGAGCGCGATACAAGACAACGTTAATGTGTTGTCGTTGTCGCTTGGTGGTGGAATGGCTGATTATTACAGAGACAGTGTCGCTATTGGAGCTTTTTCCGCGATGGAGAAAGGGATTTTAGTTTCTTGCTCCGCTGGGAACGCGGGTCCTAGTCCTTACAGTCTCTCAAACGTGGCACCATGGATAACGACCGTGGGTGCCGGTACTCTGGATCGTGACTTCCCTGCTTATGTTGCTCTAGGGAATGGACTTAACTTCTCCGGCGTGTCGCTATACCGAGGTAACGCTTTACCTGATTCACCGTTACCGTTTGTTTACGCAGGCAATGCCAGCAACGCTACGAACGGGAACTTGTGCGTGACGGGAACCTTGTCGCCCGAGAAAGTAGCCGGAAAGATTGTGTTATGTGATCGTGGATTAACTGCTAGGGTACAGAAAGGTTCAGTTGTGAAATCCGCCGGTGCTTTGGGCATGGTGTTGAGCAACACCGCCGCCAACGGCGAGGAGTTGGTGGCTGATGCTCATCTGTTGCCGGCGTCGGCGGTGGGGGAGAAAGCAGGCGACGCCATCAAGAAGTATTTGTTTTCCGAGGCTAAACCGACGGTGAGTATTTTGTTCGAGGGAACGAAGGTGGGGATTCAGCCATCACCTGTGGTTGCGGCGTTTAGCTCAAGAGGTCCCAACTCGATCACGCCTCAGATCCTGAAACCAGATCTGATGGCGCCAGGTGTCAACATCTTGGCGGGGTGGTCAAAGGCCGTGGGTCCCACAGGTTTGCCCGTTGATAACAGGCGCGTGGATTTCAATATCATCTCTGGGACCTCGATGTCTTGTCCTCACGTGAGCGGATTAGCCGCTTTGATAAAATCGGTTCACCCAGAGTGGAGCCCAGCCGCGGTTCGATCGGCTCTCATGACAACGGCTTACACCGTTTACAAAACCGGTGAGAAGTTGCAAGACAGTGCAACGGGAAAACCCTCCACGCCGTTTGATCACGGAGCGGGACACGTGGACCCTGTGGCTGCGCTCAATCCAGGGCTGGTGTATGATCTAACAGTGGATGATTATCTTGGTTTTCTCTGCGCGTTAAACTACTCTGCCTCAGAAATCAACACCCTGGCGAAGAGAAAATTCGAGTGCGACGCGGGCAAACAGTACAGTGTGAACAACCTGAACTACCCGTCGTTCGCGGTGTTGTTTGAATCCGGGAGTGGGTCCGGCGTGGTGAAGCACAGTCGAACCGTCACTAACGTGGGGCCCGCGGGAACGTACAAGGCTACGGTGACGTCAGACGCGGCCTCAGTGAAAATCTCGGTTGAACCGGAAGTGCTGAGTTTGAAAGAGAACGAGAAAAAATCGTTCGTGGTAAGTTTTTCATCCTCGGGTTCCACACAAGACAGAGTGAATGCGTTTGGACGGTTGGAATGGTCTGATGGGAAGCACGTGGTTGGGACCCCAATCTCAATAAACTGGGGTTGATCAAAGGTTCATCACTCACTCGAAGAGGGGTGTGTCTTGATTGGCTACTCATTTTACTTTTTAATATTATAATATTTAACTTTTCCAAACAAAAAAAGGGTCTTCAAAGTTAGGTTTGATTATGGCTGGGGCCTTCTGCTTGGTTGGAGTCCGTCTGTTTGCTCCCTGGCATTGGAGAAATGTTGCAAGCCAAAGCTACAACAATTGGCTCATTTTTCTTCCACTGTACAGCCTCTCCTAATCATTCATTCATCTATATTTCTTCCACCCATTTACCTCCATTCATTACCAACTTTCTATTTTCACACCATAAACCTACGGATCATTAATGCTATTCAAACTATCCCTTGTATTTCCGTCAAACTTCACTCTCTTTCTACCAATGCTTAATTATACATAATTATTTCGTTCAACAACTTTTTTCACTCAGTCTCTTCGTCTAAGTATTGTATTTTTTCTAATAATATTATTTTTAATCTATTTAGTCTATTACGACATTTCACGATAAAACTGAATGCAGAAGGCTAAAACTATTATCGCTGCCAAAACAACATTAAAGTACTAACGATGTTCTAATACATACTTATACTGAATTTGAGGACAAGCTTTTTTTAACCGTTTTTTCTTCTCCTCACACCCTTTATATGTTTCCTATAGATAAACTTCTTGGGACTATGTTCCAACAGATATTCTTGAAGAGTTGTTTGATGTCCCATAAAATCAATTTTAGAATGCATTAAATACATTTTGAAAATTTGGTTTACGTTGGGGACATTTGCACTCGTTAGAAATATCGGAGGGGAATGAGTGCGACAATGGCAAAAGGAATGGGTGAAACATTGGTGAAGAAAAGCGAATGAGATACTGTGCAAGAAATGGATAGATGTTGAGATGAAGGGTGTGAATGGAGTTAGACGAATCATTTAACATCAATTGCCAATAAGTGTTGGTAGATTATTTGTCATTAATTATGCAATTTTTTTTCAAGACTTTTTAACCCCAATCACGGATCTGTGGTCCATTGTACGAGCATATAGTGGTTTTATAATTATTTCATTTACTCATGATTAGTTAGGCCGTAAACCACTAATTCAGTTTGTCAAATTAGCCCTTTTTGTACTAAGAAAATAAATAGTTTTCATAAGAAACACTGTAATTACTTAGTTATGTGATGTCTTCAAATTTTTTCTTATATGACATTGAGAGAATTATAGTTTTAAAACACATTTATCTCTCTCCTAATTATGAATATTATAACACTTATATTTTTTATTTTATTATATTATATTTATAGTAGTATTAAAATTATATTATGCTATTTATTTTTATTTGTTAAATTGACAGAAAATATAATATTTTTTTATATTATTATTGTGCATACCCAATATAACAAATATGATATAAGTGATGAGTTATTTTCGTCATCCATTTCAATATAAAATAATTATATCATGTAACGATAATATAAAATGTAAAGACACGATAAAGTTTTACTTGAATTTTAAGGTAGGCATCAAATGTTCTTACCAGAATTTGGAATGTGGATTTTTCAATAGGTGGCAAGAGCCAAGTGATGGCTTGTATGTTCCTGAAATCCTTATTGTTTAGAAGGAAAAGCCCTTCCGCCATAACTCATGCTTATTAAACGACCAATGCACCAAATACACTTACACCAATGTCTTTGATTTTCACTTTGTCATCGCAGTCCCTGTACATGTCTGCACACTACATTGATCCACGCTAAGAATTCACCAAAGACTGGTTATCTCCATCACTTGATATTCATTTTAAGGGATTACAATGGTTCCCTTATGTGTTATTGTGAGATCACCTATTGTGATTAGCTAAAAGGAAGAACAGAGCAAGTTCATTTGCAAGAAGTTGCACTTGAAATGAAGGCCAAAGTAAGCATGCATATAGCTCTAGGGAGAAACCAACGCCGCCTACTCACCAAAGCCTTACGATGAGAGTCATTTTGTCTACTCACTAAAGCCTTATTGTTAAGACTCGTTTGTCCTGCTATCCAAAAGTTTTACAAGTAAAAATTTCGTTTGTTCACAAAAACTTTACACATAGAGCATTATATTCAGCTTAAATCGAAGCTTTATAGGTGAAACAAACCTTCCCTTTTCCCTGACTCACCAAAACCTTCTAGAAGAAAAAAGAACACAACCTAGCTTTATAATTACGAAAGAAGACATAACACTCAATCTTGTCTTCCAAAACCAACTAAATCGACTAGACAAAATACACAATCACGTCTTTTAGTCTCTTTTGCTTCCTTTTATGTTGCTTTTAGACTTGCATGCTTATTATGATGAAGATTGGAATTGTAATCCTAATGATTTGAAATCCACTATCAAGTGGTGTATTTTTCTTGGTGTTCACTTATATAATGGAAGAATAAGAAACAAGATGTTACCAATCATCCATAAGTTGAGTATCGTGCAATGACTTTGACTACTTATGAGATTATTTAACTGTGTTGGTTTCTTGCATATATGAGTATCTATGTGAAAAACCACACACCTATACATTATGACAATAAAAGTTCTATTTATATTAGTGCAAACTCAGTTTTTAATAAATGAACCAAATATATTGAAAAAATTATCATTTTACTCATCATCATCTTTAACAGGATATTATATCTTTACTAATTGTTCCTTTGACTTTAGAGATTGTATATATATTTACCAAGTCATATTTTATTTTTTATTCGATAAACTTTCAATAAAACATCTAGTCATAACTAGTCCGAGAATATTAACTTTTTATATATATTATATAACACACATCTTAAAACATTTCTACACTTCTATATTTAGAACATCAAGTATATAAATAAAAAACACTTAATAAAAGTAACATAATAAACTAAATAAATTCTAATATATTTATCAGAACGTAGACTTTAAACTATATTATAATGTAATCATGTTAAACGATTTAAAATCTTAATATACCGCCTTCAGAGTCATAATATCAAACATTAAACTATATATTCCACTAAAAATGAAATAAAGAGGGTATATTTATTTATTAGGTTTTCATATCATTAGTTAATCAACATATATTTAAATTAATTTTAATATGAAATTGGTCTTTATATAAGCTAATGAATTTATATAAAGATTTATAATTCTGTCAGGCTTAAAATAAACACACAAGAAATGAGAAACGAATAAGATAGTCTTGTTGTAAAATAGAATAAACAACTTGGGTTACAATATTGTGAAAATTGGAAATATTTTAATGTGAAACTATTCACAAGATTCTTTCTACATTCGATGTATTGAAAGTTTGAAATGAAGAAACCTTTAAGCAAAGCATGAGCCACAACACTGAGTAGTGGCCAATGGATTTCAAGCACTCTGAGAGGACATGAAGATACTATACGTAACCTTTTGTTTTATATAAATGTATATATGGTGTCGTGTTTTCAGATGAGTGTAACTTTCAGAGCTGCTTAATATGGCTAAGGGATGTGAATATCATTTTACGATTACGTACACATACACACTTACTACACTGGTTGGTCCCCTCTTTTACGATTACGTACGGATCTATGGATTATTCTCTTCCAATTGTTGCAGGTTACTTCCAAAATTATAAATATTGAAATGACTACTCAATACATCTAAACTTACTTTTATCTTAACCTTTCAATGTTAAACTATTATACTTGAAGTAATACTCATTTCTTTACATCAAATTATGGCTCGGCTTTCTTTTTTAATCTGACTTTCACTATTATTTTTTCCTACAACGTTACTCAGTTTTTTTTTTCAATGTCTGTCTTTGAATATTTTGTCACCGAGCGAATCTTTAAAATATATTTTAACAGTCTCAATCTTTTTTAGGTGTACAAATATTTAAGATGATAAATATATTAAAATTAGAAAAACTATTTTTATCAATATACTAATATATATATATAATATAAATTAAGAGATCTTTCAATTTTTATTGTTTCACTTTTAATTATGTCACTTATATTATTCATCCTTCCTATTCAATTGTGTTATTTGTCTTATATACACATATATTTAATTACTTTTTTATTAAATAAAATTACCATAGTTTTTATCCTCGTATATTCACTACTTACTAATAATTATTAATCAATTTTATGTACGTATTTTATTCTAAAAATTTAAGTGACTAAAATAAAATTATTAATGAAAAAAATATTAATAATGAATAATCATTTAAAATTTAATTTTATATATTTTTATTATTTTTATTATTTTTATTAGACTTAGAAAATCAAAAGTATTTTGTAAAAATTTAATTATTTAAAATTTATATTTTGATATAATTCATTACATTTATTTTTAAAAGATCAATTTATTTACATTAATATTTTATTCAAATATTTGATTTAAATTATATTTACGATTATTTTTATTCAAAATTTATATTTTAAATAATTTTATTTGAAATTTAAAAAGACGTAGAGATACTAATAATATCTACCCATATTTAAGCATCTCCAGGTATTTTTCACAAATACGAATAATAAGACAATAAACAAAATACTTTTTCTTAAATAAAACAGGTAATAGATCAGCACCACCCATAATCAATTAGTGGTTCAACCCGACTTAATCCATCATGAGTTGGTTACTTAATGAGTCAACCCAACCTGATTCACTTATTAGCAAGTTTTGAACCCGGTCTGACCCACCAAAGGTTGGTGGTTAAACAAGTTGACTCACTGACTTACTTAATTATAAGTTTTTTTTAATTAAAAAAAACTATATTTTTTTAATTCAAATCTAAATAAATTTCACTCTAAAATGATGTTAAACTCCAAAAATAAGTTTTTAATATTGATAATTTTTGTATCACTTGTCCATTTATAATATTAGACTCTTAAATAAATAAATCTATAATATTTTTCTCTCTTGAAACATCTTTTTTTTTATTCCCATTTACAATATAATAAAAGAAATGCTAACTAATAATATTGAAACACAAAATAATAAATAATTAAATTAAATTAGGTAGGTTGGTGAGTCAACCTAACTCACCACGGGTTCAACCCAAATGAGCGAGGTTCTAAGTAAGCCAGGTTGAAAACTAACCCGCATAAAAGAAGTGTATTTTTTCAAACTCAACCCAGCTCAAACCCGTAGTAGGCAGCAGCTCGTGGATTATAATCATTTTGACAGCACTACTCAACACAATGCTTTGTTATTGTCGTGCGTTAAGAAGGTGTTTCTACTATTCATCGTTAGATTATTTTGAAAAGTTTTTTCTTTGCCAAGTAATTTTCTTCCCTCAAACATGTTTTGTTTTTGTTTGTGTTCGTAGTTTCTATATCATAAATCAACATAAAATTGTTTATTTGCGTCATATCCTATGTAAAACGTTTTTTTTTTCATTTTATGCATCTAAGTCAAATTAAAAATAATGTAATCGAAACAATGGGAAGTAAAGAAATGATTTTGCCCAAGTAAATTAATATTAGTAGTAAAATGTAATATTATTCTAAGCAAAGTTTAAAAGTTCACATATTAGCTAAAATGCTAAAATTTTGAGTTTGTCAAAATCTTAGAAAAGAGGTATATAATTAAGTGCAGATGAGAATTGGCCACGGAGGAATAACTGGAGGTTGAAACGGTTGACTATTTTAGGAAAAAAGTTGTCAGAAAAGAATGTTAAATCCTCAAAACTAATTCCATATAATGAGAGAAGAGCTAAATTTGTCTTAGCATTAGAGGAAAAGAGGAACTCACTCGTTTCTTTTAATGCATAAATATAATCAACGTTTATAGTTGTTTTTAAATAAAAATATAAAGATAATTTGGTTTTTGGTCTAACAGGGTATATGAATAAATACACGTGGTGTGGAGAAGCATCTGGAGAAGAAACAGCAAGGTTGTGGTAAAGGTGGCACGTGTGTGTGAGAATTGTTTGGAAGAGGACGTGTGTTAGAGGTGGACAAGTGGCAGAGGAGGTAGAAAATAGAAGTATCCTATATAAGAAAGAAAGGTTGAAAACGGAGAAGGAAGTAAGAGAAAGATGGAGCAGGATAGAAAAAGAGAGAGTGAATCAGAGAAAGAAAGGGTTGAAGGGCTTCCGATAAAGGACAGTCCCTACGTGCAATACAAGGATCTGGAGGATTATAAGCAACAGGGTTATGGGACGCAGGGCCATCAAGAACCAAAGACAGGTCGTGGTGCTGGAGCTACTGATGCACCCACTCTTTCTGGTTCTGCACTTTCCTCTCAGTCCCAAGCCACTGCTACTGCTGCAAATAATCACAAAGGACTTCCTTAGTTAACCCCACCTCCTACCCTGCAATACCTCAATAACATTTTACTCATTTCTATTATTAAACGTTTTAAATTTCCGTTTCTACTTTTCTTCTCCATGCTGTCAATTACTTATGTTACGTTGGGAAATTTATAAGGCTACGAGAGATATTGGATATTCATTCCTTTCCTTTTCCTTCTTCTTTTTTAATCAATATTGCCGCCGTCTATTTATATAGGATTTTGGTTTTTGGAATTGTTTATCAACACAAAACTTCATTGGAAGAACACCGTCTGAAAAAATACGTATGGAAAAAGAAAGCCTTTATAAACTCACTAAAGTTTATTATTATTATTATTATTATTTTCTATAGATAGCCACTCCAAATTTTGATTTTGTTTTAATTATTCTCAAATTTTATCCATAAATAGAGACATTAAACTTTAATTTTGTTTCAACTGATCCGAACTTCCTTTTCTTTTAAAAAAGCACCTGAAATATTTATTTGATTTGATTTCTTTTTTAAAATTTATTAAATTTTTTAATATGATTGTTTTATTAACTCTTGATTTAAATAATTTTCTTTAAAGATCGAGAGTTCAATACAGTGTTTGTATTTATTCGTTTTTTACGTATTAGCTTAAATGAAAATAAGATTTTAGAAATATAGAAACTAAGGGAAACAAATTTGTGTAATATATTTGCTTAGTTTACACTCTTAAGAAAAACGGAAACTAACTTGGTTACACTCTTAAAGAAAAAAGGAAATTAAATTTCAATGCGACTATTTTTAGGATAGACTTTTAGATGGAATAAGAAAAATACATATCTGGAATTCATTTTTCCAGATGTATTGGGCCTATTTCAAGGAAGAGCGGGCCTCTGAATTCTGGATACGAGACTGACGATTTCTTCCTGCATCCCTCTTTTCTTACTGTACCTCCAAACTTTTAAAATCCCACTTTTACCTCATTAAAAACTCTAATTTTGTTTTCTCTCCCATCTTGCCCTTTGCCGACTCGGCACCATCATCTTCCAGTCACTCGTCCTTCTGATCTCCAAGAAGAATTGACTGTGTCTCTGAATGAGGTTAAGCCTCTCACTCCTATGGCTTCACTTATGACTATCTTCACCTTTGGCTTCACTTATGACTGTCCATTCCCAACCGACTACGTCTAGGATTTCAAGTGTTTTGGTTGATTCTTTCCCTTAATCTTTTTTGCTTTCTAATCATGCAATTTACTTTTTTTTTTGTTGTTTGTTGTTTTCTTTATTATGGTTTTACAAATTTCTAAGTTAATTTTTTAATTTTATTGTAATTTGAGTTTTTATGATATACATCTTCATCTTTTAATATTTTTTAACTCTAATTGATTTTATTTGGTGGAATGCTTTCATGTAGATATTAAATTGAATTTTGGACCACATATTTGATTTTCTTTGAAATATGAATTTAGAATATGGTAAATCAATTCATATTAGTTATTTGAAATTTGAATATTAGGAATTCATTTTCGTTACTATTTGTGGTCACAAGTTGTGAAATATTTTCTTTTCTTTACCCTTTATTTTTATCTCAATCTGCATTTTTCTTTTCTTTGATGAGTGTACTTAAAGGAATACCTACCCTCATGTTTTTAAGATAATGCAGCACTGTACGTACTGGCTTCGTGTTTGAACTCTTTTTATAATTCAATTTCAAATTATATGCCAGACTGCGCAGTGGTCCTCCTCACCCGCACTTCGACTAAAACAATATTATTAGACCTTCATTTCCACAACAATATATACCCTTTAAAGTCCAGCTATACGCTACACACATAGATAGAGAGGTCCTCTCTCTACAAATGCCAATTCTCAGGCCCAAAAACTCACACTAAACACCATCAAGCTCTTCAAAAGCAACAAAAAAAAAACTTTAACGAGGGTTTCTATTTCACACTTGTTTAATTTAATATGGTTTTACGAAGATTATCACATAATATTGTTTTTTTAATGATGTCTGAGGAGCTTATTGGACGTGTCTTTTGTGGTATGTGTGTCCAAACCAAAGCGTTTCTCCTATTTGCTCGGGTCGCTTACGTGATGGATACAATGCCCCATTTTATTTCTTACTTTAGTGCTGGGCACCACACTCCTATACCTCTTTTTATATTCTAAATGTCCGTGTCACTCTGTCGCCCACACCCTCCTCACCCTGTTCAAATACCTTTACCCTATCAAAAACCTTAACCCCATTAATTCATCCTTCCCCGACACCTTCCAGCTTTCCAACCAAGCCTGTTCCTTCCTCAATGACCACCTCAGACATCGTCCAAGGAAAATGGAACCCTATCCAAGAAGAGGAAGACCATCAAGAAGAAGATCAATCTCAACAAGAAGAAGAAGAAGAAGAAGAAGAAGCATTGTCGCTTTCCGATCTTCCAATCAACCTCAACGACCAACCGAGCCTCCAAGAACAACGCTCTGCTGCCAACGAAGCAACTCAAGAGGAATTCAATTTCCGCTCCTGGGATGCTCCCTTTTCCAAACAACCCGAAATGTGTGCGGCTGATGAAGTTTTCTTCAAAGGCCAAATCCTCCCATTGCGTGTCTCCTTCAGCTCCGAGGCTGGCTTATTAGCCACACTATCTCAATCTCAACCACATTATGGTAAGCACTTTATCAACGAATCCTTGGATTTTCCGAGTAACAGTAGCAGTAGCAGTAGAAGCAGTAGTCTTCGAAGCCAAAACTCATCAACTAGCACCGCTAGCTCCGCTACCATCACCACCACAAAAAAGATTACAACAGTACCTCCGAGAACGAAGCCCAGAATTCGAAACCAGTTTCATATGCACCCAAGTCCGAAGCCTCAGTTAAGGGCACCCACCCCAACACAATTATCAAGCTTGGGTAACCCAGGTAGAAAATCAACGTCAGCATGGGGAATTTTCCGTTTGGGTGTGGTCCCTGCTCCCGAGATAGGATTGCAAGACCTGAAGGTTCGCAACAGATCAAACTGTGTCAGTCGCAACAGTAGTAGCAACAGCAGCAGCAACAACAGTGCGAAAAGTGTGAAAAGAAGTAACAGGAACAAGGGAAATGATGGTGTTTTGAAACAGTTAGTGGGGAAAGGCGGTGGTCTATTGAGTGGTTGTGATTGTTCTTTCCAAACAGTGCAATCGAACAACATGGTCATGATAAAAGGTGGTAACGGTGGTGGTAAAAGTAGCAACAAGACAGAAAGCATAAGGCACGCCGCGAAAGAAAAAGTGGTGGAGTTGAAGAAGCAGAGGCAAAAGCAGGGAAAGAAGGTTACGTCACGTCGTCGAACGTTTGAATGGATAAAGGAACTTCATGCAAGTCACCCTGGTGATGATGACGACGATGAAGAGGCTTTGTTATCAAACGCATGATGCTTGGATTTTACTTCTAAGATTAGATTAGGTTAATCATATTGCACCGCCTTTCTTTGCTTCCTTTAATTTGAATTAATGAAATTATAATATTGTGGTGCAGGCGTTTGTAATCAAAAGTTGCTGCTTTCTCGTGAGAAAGAGCAAGGCTGTAATCAATTTTCTTTTTCAAAATAGAAAAAAAAAACCTTTTAATTTGGGCGTGTAATTAATAATTGAATGGGGTTTGTTGAGAAGTTATGTGGAATGCATGATGAGGCTTAAATGATACGGGCGAACATGGGTGAATTGGTGTTTATGGCTGTCATGATTGAAGTGTGAATTTCGATGGTTTGTGGTTGGTTGGTTGGATGGAGAATGTGAAATAGGATTAGGGGACTGCACCAAGTCACGCGAGGCAGAGACTTTGAGAGAGAAAAGACGATGGGAAAGTCGTGAAAGAAAGAAATTAAACAAAAAAGAAAAGAAGAAAATATAGATATTGGAAATAAAAGTTATATAAGGTGGTGGAAAAAGGTTTTTCCTTCATTATTGTCTTTCCCATTTTCTGCTTTTGTGAAAGATCGAGTTTTTTAAGATGTACACAAGAAGAAGGGAAAAAAAAGGTTTTGTCTGTGGTCAATGGCAGTTATCACTTTTTGTGTGTTTATATATTCGCAATCGTTCGTGAGAAAGTTATTAAAAGAATATATCAAAAGAAATAAGCTATTAACAATCTTCGTCTTATTAATATAATAAATGTTGACGTTGTGTGTATATATTTGTATGGCAGTTGATATTAAGTATGTACGATATTTTGTATAGGGACCCATTTTACATCACCAAACTTTCAACAAGGGAAGGAATTCATGTTAAAATTCAATTAAGAGCCGGCGACAATTTTTCAGTGGAAAAGGTTCAGCTAACAAGACAAAAGTGTTTTACAATTTTAACATTTTCAATATACTTTTATTTATTAGGTGTGATAGTTGTAATTTAATATTTTATTCTGACAGGGCAGTAATGTTGTCTTTCGTTTGGCATAAATAAGCAGTCATGGGTGGACGAAGATATAAGTTTTGTATGTTTAGGTATTTGTGAGTTTTCTTTTTTTTTTTTTAAATGTCTAATTTACTTTCTCATCCTTTCTAATAAAAGAGTTTAGCCATATTAAATCAACAATAATATTTTAATAATAAAATTTGACAACATTTTAACACTAATATGAGTGGTTCACGTAGAAAACAATATTTAAAAATGAGAATGACATAGAAGAAGAGTCAAGGGAAGGGTTTGAAAGTGAGGAGGTTCATTTTCTATCTTCAGAATTTGAATATGAGGCAAGGTGTGAGAGAGAACCCAATCTTAGAGAGAGAAAGCGAACCCTAGAGTGAGTCTCGCTCCCTCCCACCCAGCCAACCTACCTCTTCTCATAAACGTGTCGGTGCAAGCATGGTCCGCCGAAGTTCCACATGAGGAAGTGGTGTTCGTTCCGATGACCAGCAGCGTTGGAACCTTTGATTGAAACCGCCACCGACAAAGGCGTGTTTTGAGCTACCGCCATTTACGTCTACTCACTCACCCAATCATTGTGGTTCGTCTTCCTCGGAGTGTCGCGGTCCTTTGTTCGTCGGAGTACCGTCGTCGACGTTTACCCACCCATCCATCTTGCTCTGTGCCACCCACCGAGAGGCGTTGGTGTTCATTAAAACGTGGTCGGACTCTCTTTGTTCATTAAAAGTTGATTTAGTTTGTTTAAATTTGTTAGAGCATTTATGTGTTGTTGTGTTTTTTGGGTATTTTTCAAGGTATGGTTTAGTGTGGGATGAAGTTGTGTAGAAGATTTAGTGGTTGATGGTGTTTTTGGATGGAAAGTATGAAGTTCTTTTCTAATTTTTTTGACCATTTACTGGTTTAGTTCTTTTGATACAATTATTATGTCACTTATATACAATTCTATGTCCAAGGAACCATTCTTTGTAAAACTCATGGTGCAGAAACTGCAGTGGTAGTTAAGGCAAAATAAGTGGGGACTTCAGGCAAATGTTTTGCACAACCAGGTCAAATACGTTACAGGTACAACACTTGCACACTCCAAGCCAACCAAACTTATAAGTTTTTAATGTTTATTTATGCAAATAAAAATTTTATTGTTTCATTGATATGTTAAATAACATTATTTGTATGTTGGACTTTGTTTGATGTAGATATGATTATGGAGTTATTGTTTTGAAATTTATGGAGTTGTGGGATGACGTTGAGAAATACGAAGACAACACAATGCCCACATACGTAACTGTAAGTTATAAAAATTTTCATTTTTTGGGAGCTTTGATAGAAGATGTTGCATTTTATTAATATGTTGTGCATTTATCTCTTTGCAGGAGGAATTGCAACAGGTTAGGGAGAAATATGTTTGTGATTGGATCTTGGATGTGGACAATATGCGGAGGGATGAAGTGTTGCGAGATTTAGGTCTTATGTAGATGTTGTTGAATAAGGATTTTGCAATGTAATTGATGTTTTGTTTACAATTTTTTGAATAAGTATTTATGAGGTCTGAATGTACATATTTTTTGTTAGAAATGTTCAAAAAAAATGTATTGGTTACATTTATTGATAATCAAATTTGAAGATGAGAATGATCATTGTTTACGATGTATGTACTGCAGTCCCCACAAAATTTGGATGTCATTATTTAAGAAATCTTGTATGTACAGGGTTCTATGTAGAATAAATGATGAAAGATGCAACATATTTAGCTTAAGTCTTAATGAATGTGTCAACATGACTTGTATGTCCATTAAGTATGAACAAAAGAATTGTGCACTTTAAAATGAATGTCATTTTCATAGTTGACTTGATTGTGCAAAACCTTTGTCCGAAATCCCCACTTATTTTGTCTTTGCTGTCACAGCAATTTTTGCACCATGGGTTTTACCAATATTGTTTCCTTGAACATGAAATTGTATATAAATTTCATAACAATTGTCTAGACATCACTTTTATGTTCAAATATTGTTAAGGAAGAAATTGAAACTTCAAAATGAATGTCATTTTCATAGTTGACCTGGCTATGCAAAACATTTGCCTAAAGTCCCCACTTATTTTGACTTTGCTACCAAAGCTGTTTCTGCATGATGAGTTTTACAAACATTGTTTCCTTATACATGAAATTGTATATAAATGTCATAATAAAGGTATCAACATCACTTTTATGCTAAAATATTGTTAAGGGAAGAAACTGAAACTTGAAAATGAATATCATTTTCATAGTTGACCTCGTTGTGCAAAACCTTTGCCTGAAGTCCCCACTTATTTTGCTTTTGCTACCAAAACTGTTTCTATGAGTTTTACAAATATTGTTTCCTTGAACATGAAATTGTATATAAATTTCATAAAAATTGTCTGGACATCACTTTTATGTTCAAATATTAAGAAAGAAATTGAAACTTCAAAATGAATGTCATTTTCATAGTTAACCTGGCTGTGGGAAACATTTGCCTGAAGTCTCCACTTATTTTGACTTTGCTACCAAAGTTGTTTCTGCATCATGAGTTGTACAAATATTGTTTCCTTGGACATGAATTTGTATATAAATGTCATAATAAAGGTCTCAACATCACTCTTATGTTAAAATATTGTTAAGGAAGAAATTGAAACTTGAAAATGAATATCATTTTCAAATTCTGAAGAGAGAAAATGAACCTCCTCACTTTCAAACCCTTTCCCCTATTCTCTTTCCACGTCATTCTTATTTTTAAATATTGTTTTTCACGTGAACCACTCACATTTTGACACGTGATTAGTGTCAAAATGTTGTCAAATATTGTTGTTAAAGTATCATTGTCCATATTAAATAGTTGTCAATAGTATCTTAACATACTTATACTTATGCTTTTTGTAATAAAAAAAAATCTTCAACGAAAAAGTGTATATCAATGTAACTTTTTCCTAAGACTATGATATTTTAACAACTTTTTTGAAAATAGACTACGTGTTACTATTTTATTGGTCCATATATTTAAAACGGACCAATTACAAACTACCACATATGTTGTTGTAAAAAAGTTGTCAAAAAAACATTATTAAAGAGATATTTTCATTTTTCCTATTGAGTTTACTGGCACATTGGTTGGGTTCATTCGGTGAATCATAACACACTGGTTGCTCCACCTATCTTATTTGTGAATGTTTGTGGCTTAGACTAGTGCTCCTAGATTTAGCATATACACATATACATCTCATTAAGGTGTATTGTGACAATAAAATTTATATGACATTACTAACAATTTTGTTCAACATGACTGTAAAAAAACAGGTAGAAGTTGATATTGTTCATCAAGAAAAAACTTCATAAGAATATTCTAGAATTGCTAAATATTGGATCTGAAGACCAACTTACAAATATTCTTATGACAAGTCAGATTTTTCAAAGATTATTATACAAATTGGCAATGTATGACATCTATTTTTCAACTTGAAAGAAAATGTTGAAATGAATATATTCTGTTAGCTAAATTATAGGTTTATAATATTGTATAATAACAACTTTCTTTATTTAGTCCTTATTTGTGGGAATAAAATGTTATAAAAACAAAATATTTGTATATAAGAACATATGAATGAAAATCATATAATGAATTATAATCATAAACAAAAAAAAAAATGTAGATTCTTAGTTGGTATTCACCAGGAATATGAAAAAGCAAAAGGTATAAAACTACTATAAAAGTAAAAAGTTGATTTAAGAGTTATACCACAACTTAATAAGTCACTTTGATGTATAGGAGACTTTGATAGTTGTGTGTTATTGGAGTCTTGGATAATTGTGTGTTATTGGAGTTGTAATTTTGTTAAAAAAATTACATAAGTAATAATACTTTTCAGTATTCATGGATGTGGGTCATGAGGTGCCAATTCATGTGAAATTTATTATGTTTTTAAAATAAATCGTATGTATTTTTGTTTGAAGAAATTAATTTCCTGTTTTAGAATTCTTAATAGTCGCACAGAGATGATGTTCTAATTAAGGGAGAAAAAGAAACAGTTTGGCATATTGACAAAAGTCAATGTTATGTGTGTGGATCAATCTCTATGTATGTCAGACTTTTCATAATGGAAAGATATACTGGTTCTCAAGTGAATATTTGCAAAAGTTAAAAAAAAAAAAAACTACTACAAAATTGAAGAGTCTGGGAGTTGTTATCACAATTCAATAAATCACTTATGTTTATTGGAGGAATAGATATTGAAGAGTTTGTGATTTTGTTTAGAAAAATTGTAGGAGAAGGTTTGTAATTTCGTAAAAAGAAATCTATAAAGAGTTTTGCAACTTTTATTTAGAAAAAATTGTATAAGAATATTTGCAATTTTTTTTTAAAAAAAAATTGTATGTTGAATAATAATATTTGAGTATTGGTGAATGTAGTAGGCCTTATTATGTATGTTAAATTTATTGTGCGCATT